AAGTGCACAATTCTAAAAGGACTGGAAGAACAGAGGGACCTGGGTATATATGTGCCCAAGTCATTGACACAATAGGTTGAGATTGGAGTTAGTGAAGCATACAGTATTCTAGGCTTAATTGATAGGGATATTGAACATACAGACAAGGAGGTTATGTTGTATAAAACATCAGTCCAACCTCAGCTACAGTACTCCACCCAGCTCTAGATACTGTGCTTTAGAAAGCACAGAAGAGGTTAATGTGAATGTTTTCCGTCTTGAGGAATTTCAGTTATGAAGATAGATTGGAGAATTTGGGACTGTTTTTCTTGGAGAAGAGAAGGCTGAGAGGAGATCTGATAGAAGCATTCAAAACGCGGACAAAATAATTGAGAAAATGTTGCCATTTGGAAAAGGATTGGGAATGAAAGTGCATAGGTTTAAAGTAATTCCTTAAAAAAATTAAAAAAGTGATGTGAGGATTTTTTTTTCCATACAATGAATGGTGTCTGAAATACTCTGCCTGAGAGTGTGGTGAAGGCAAATTAAATCGATATATTCAAACAGAGAATTAGAACTCCATTTGAAAAGGGTTACAGGGAGAAGGAAGGTGAATGGTACTAACTGAGCTGCTCATTAGGACAGCAGGCACAGAAACAATGGACTGAATGGCCTCCTTCTGTGCTATAATAATTCTGTGATCTTGCTTGAACTTCTGCATCATTCCAGTTCTCTCTCTATAATTACATGATACTGACATCACCCTTAAACATGCTGCTAATGTCTCATTACTCTATATTGGTAACTAGCTAAAAGCATAATCCACATCTATGCTGGCAACAGTATTTAAAGATTTATTTGATACTACAATCAATGGTGAAGAAGACTTCATCAGAACTTAATGCTGACAGCAATGGAGGATGCTGAGGTTATGGAGTTTCTGGTAGTGGGATTTTGGGGGTTTGGAGGTTGTTGGTCAATCAACTTTCTGCTTTCCTGGTGCTTTTGAAGTCACTGTACTTTATCCTTTTAGAAATGCTCAAACTGAACCTATACTTTTAAAAAAAAACCCTCCACAATTCTTATCTTTTCCTTAGACAAATTAGTGTCTTAGCTACTCAAATATCCTTTGATGCTTTAAAATATTCAACTCATTTAACAGTTTTTTGTATTGTTTGGTTGAGAATACCTTTTACTTCATCTAAGAATCATTCTACTAGTATTTCCTCTCAGTATTTCTTTGTTGATTCAGTCCCTCTCCCCCTCCTCTTTCAAATTTTATTAAAATACTTTTCTTTTCTGAAGAATAAGACCTGAAACATCAACTGTATTCTCTTCTCAAATAGTAACTGATCTACTATATGTGTTCAGCATTTCTTCTGTATTTGCATTTATAGACAAGGAAAAGCTGTACAGATACATTATAGAATCATTGAAATGGAATGCATTACAATTAGCAAATATATGTTTGGAATTTGAGAAACAAAATGGAATACTTAGAACAAAGCAAAATTCTCACAGAAAGTACTTCTGATGGAGTAATAAGTAAGAAAAACAACTGTTCAGAAACAGGCTCACCATGTCTACTGTAGACGTTTAGTCAAAAATTTAATTGAGAAGCAAAACTTACCTGTTCAGTCTAAGTTCAATGACCAAGAGAGCAGGTCAGGAAATATAGCATGAAAGGGCAGCACATTTCATAAGATTTTACATCTTAAATTAAAGAAAGGAAAGTCCCACAATATTCACTGAGCTCCATGTCCAAACTAATACCTATGTATTTGGAATGCACACTTGTGTTAGTCATCAAATTTGCTGCAAATCTTTGAAAAATTGTACGCACAATTGAAGCTAGTAGTTTAACAGTACTGGGGAAATGCTGCACCAGACACAGATTAACTGGCTATTCATCATGTGAATGTTTATGAGATGGCGCTTTACCAGAACTGAGTGCCACATGTGTCTATCTATACCAGTATCCACTCATTAAAGTTATAGATGCAAAGTGTTGTAAAATATTTCTAAAATATATAATGAGGCAACTTGTTTCTTTTAAAACTATCATTAACTTGGCTTAATCAGTAAGAAAACTGGGCCAAAAGGAAAGAGTAACTGAAGGAGCTTTGGTATTTCCTACATTCTGGAATATTTAAAGTTTAAGAAACCTTGGGTCCCTTGCGTCAATACGTTGCCCAGGTAGCAATAAAAATAATGAACATTGCTCACTTACACAAAGTGCAGAGTTATTTTCTTAATAGCATGCAGGTTATTAAGCCAGATTGACTTGAAGCACGCAAGTCATACTCATAGGCACACAAAACTTGAAACTTAATTCTCTATTAAAATATTGCATAAATATATACTGAATTTGATAGCATTGTAAATGAAAGGAAATCAACAGGTTTGTTTTATCCAACTATGAATGAAATCAAGATGTAAATATCAATGGGCTTACATTGATGGTTAAGGCTTCTATTTTGATTCTCATTCCTGCAATAAATGTTTTGAGACAATTATCTATAGAAAGTTCAAAGTTCCATCAGGTGTTCATGAGTCACCTCAAGCAACATTCTTACCATTATCCTACTGGCTTTTCATTTACAGACAGTTTGCAGCTCTACAGCTCTAAAATCCTGCAGCTAATTGACAATTCCATAAGTACACCTTTTTAATTTAAGAAATCTAGATGAAGTCTAACTAAAAGATACCAAGTTGAAAAGAATAGGAAAGAGGATAATGAAAGTTATGCTTGAATTCCAAATACATGTATTTTATAGAAAGCAGGGAAGACTGAAGGAACTGAGGAATCAGGTTTGGAATGAACTTAAGCCAAGGTTTGAATTGATTGGACTCAAAGAAGGTGCAATTTGTCTTGTTTCCGACACAACAACAATTAAGAGAGGAGTATTTGATGCTAAAGAAGGAACAAAAAAGGAAGCTTGAGGTAAAATTGAGGTGACCATATTTTCTAGACTGAATCCATGAATACACGGAGTGCGAGGTTAGAAGGTAATCAGAATATAAAACTAGATTACGTATCAAAGCAAGACTAAACATCGTTGGAAGACCATATTTTAACAATTAATATTGGACATGACAAATGTAAAACAGGATGTGATGCCACACTATTGAAGTCCATTCAGACCCTGTTTATAAGCAATACTTTTCAGGAATGTCAAATTTCTCATACCTACTGGCTAAACAGGTCATGGTTCACTCTTGTCTAAAAATCTTCTTTCTGTTTAGTGTGTTTTGTGCTCTTTTATAGATGGCTCTCGAAATAGAAACTGATCTACATGAAATGGAAACTGCACAGTGAACATAACACAGATACAAAGTTGCTGGAAAAGCTCAGCAGGTCTGGCAGCATCTGTGAAGGAAAAAACAGAGTTAACGTTTCGGGTCTGGTGACCCTTCCTCAGACCCTTC